CAAGTGGTAATTGCTTGGCTAGGCAAAAGACAAGCAAAGCATCCCATGGCCAGCTTCCTTCTCCAGACTCTTGCAGCGATTGTTGCTTGCCATGGGCTCTTCCTCCACTCGGCTTACCTGCGGACCTACCACAACGTGGTCGCCGACGCCCTCACCCGAGAGGACGCGAAGGAGGTTATGGAAAAGGCAGGGTTGGAATGCCTGCCCGACCCGATTTTCTCGACCGAGGGTGGCAAAGAAGAGCCCTTGTGTGTGGTCTGGTCAACCGGAAGCAGATCGGTGCCAAGCACTCCAACTCGCGAAGGGGAGACAAAGGGGAGAATGTCTTCAGAACTTGCCGGTCATCCACGCAACCCACCTGAGGTTTTTGGATTTCAGTGACCAGCCAGAGCATTACACCTCTTCGCTACTCGCACATGGAGCGGCCCATGGTGAAGACGAACCCAATTTGGTTTGCGTTTCACTCGCAGGGGAGAAATGGGCTGGAAGGCAGAAACTCTTCCTTGCCGCAGTGACCCGTTTCAAACCTGTGCTGATTTGGGTTGACAGTCGGGACGAGAAGCAAGTGAGCCAGTTAGGAGGCCAACTCGAGCAACTTGGGTACCACACCCAGGTACACCCCCTCTGCGGCAGAACTTTGAAGGATCAAGTATGGTGGAAGCGGTGGGTTTTGAAGCCGAAACCAGCTGGCCCTGGTGTGGGACCCATGCCGACCCCTACCAGGGTTACATGACGGATCGTGACAGCCAGAAAGGGATGATCGGCTATTTTGCTGATTGGGAAGGGGCCCAACGGCCCGGCTGCTCGAACAATCACACCTGCTGAAGCGGCGAAGTTGTTGCGCGGCAGGAGCTCGCGATATCAGGAGGAAGACAGACGCACCGCATGCGGAGACCCCAAGACGTTACTTGAAGCGACCCCCAGAAAGCTGGCTGATGCGGCAGTGCACTGGGCAGCTCAACAACTCCTGGGGGAAAATCTCCCCGACCAAGTGGGAGTCTGTCGACTCGCCTGGGAGGAAGAGACATGAAAGGGTCTTGATGAAGTGGCTCCAAGACAATCCCAAGCAAAAAAGGACCGACTCGTTGCGAAGCAAGACACTGATGGAGTCTGGTGGGTCGCGGCCTCGGGCCACACGCAGGAGAGAGTTGTTGGCCCAGCCGCAGTGGTCCCAACCGAGGAACTCCCGGCCTTGCTGGCGCATGGCAGCTACCGACGTCACACTGCGTCCATTCAGAAGAAGGGGTTGGTGAGAGGCGACCGAGATGTCCACTTCCACGACCCCGAGGAACACGCAGAGCGGTGGCGGGTCGACCTCGAAACACGGATAGATATCGATGTCAAGAAAGCCGTTGACCTTGGATGCAAGTTCCGGAAGACCGGCAACAAGGTGTGGCTCTGTGATTCGACAGTACCGCCAGCCGCAATCATTAGGATCACCCAGTGGGACGGCTTACCTGAAGGCAGAAGCCTCGAGGACCGAGAAGATGAGCATGGCTCGGCAGCGAGCTCTGCCAAAGCACCGATGTCAAGCGCTGCGCTGCCCATCAGGCCCAAAGTGACAGGCAGATGGGGCCCCATGCCAGAAGAAGAGAAGAAACCCATTACCGAAGAGATCCTATAGACGTCGCCAAAGGCCTCGGGAGCAACTTACCCGAGAACTTCGAAGATGGCCTTGCTGTGGACCTGGCGACAGAAGAACCGTAGGCGGACCCGAGGCGCGTTTCGCGCCCGGGGAAGCAGAGGGAGAAATGGAAGTTGATTGGGGGGGCACTGACTCTGAGGTGGAAATCGCCCAGGCGATCCCAGCAGGAGCGTCTACAGAACTTGTAGAACCTAAACAAGAGAAGACTGAAGGGCTGACCGAAGACCCTGACGCGAGAACGGCTGAGTTGGCTCAGCCCAAAGCCGAAACGACCGCAGCTCTTCCAAAGAGCGAAGAAGTGATACCCACGAAGGTTGAGGAGAGTGTCGACGTCCCCAGTGCAACAGAGACCCCAGGAGGAACACCAGCAGCAGAGGGTGTGCCCAATGCGCCACCGCCCCCTGGAGATGCCAAGGGAATCGAATACCTTCATCCTAAGGATCAAGAAATGATCACCGAAGGAGACTTGCCCAGGCCTCGAAGGCGAAAGGTCAAGTTCGGGGATGCATCTTCTCAAAGCTGTGGCCGACGACGACGCCGCCAACTGGGCATGTCTCCAAGAAGCTATCCAGCAAGCCCCAGCAGCCTCTCAGGTTAAGTCGGAGTTCGTGGAGCGTCTCAACCAGTTGGCCGAGGCAAGACTCAAGAGTAAGACGGAGGCTGAAGCCAAAGCCGAAGAGCGAGCCCAAAGGGTCAAGCACTACACCGAGGCAGAAACCGACTACCGGGCAGGCCTCAACGATCAGATGTTACGACTTGAGCTCGCGAACCCCGTCGGTCCAAGGACTGGGGTTCCGCTTGTTTCTGATCACCGACTGAAGCAAGAGATTGAGGCGGGGAGATCCGTCTGGGTTGCCAGAAGAGCCCAAAGGGCACGAGAAAGAGCGGCTCAGCACTGACAGGAGGTCGACGCCTGGAGTCGAGCAGAGAAGGGACCAGGAACAGGACCCTTGTTGGATGTTGATCCTGCAGAAGCCGGTAAGGTGTTGGACAAAGCGCTTCATGATGCAGCCCAAAAAGACCTTCGAACCTTCAGAGCGGACCTCCAGAACGAGGCTCGACGAGAGGGCAATTGGAACAAGCGGGCGCCAGACACCGCCAGCCGTAAGAAGATCAAGAAGCAGCGGAAGCGTGAGGGACAAGGGCATACCAAGGACGACGCTGAGCGTGACCGCAATCACGCCATCGCGCGCCAGACTGCCGAGGGGAGCTCCTCGGCCGGAGGTCTTTCCGTCCCGAACCTCAGCAATTTTGATCAAGGACTGAAGAGGAGTCCTGGAGACGCCCTTGAAGCCGAGTGGGATCTCGATCAGGCTTCAGGAATGATTTTTTGACAGCCTACTGCTGGCATTTATACTAGCCGTGGCTTTGGCCATCAGAAGACTCCTTTCCAAATGGGGGTCAAACCACCCAGGAGGATCGGCAAAGGTCTATTTGGAGGCCACCAAAGTCGGCGGAACCAGAAAGAAAGTGAGATTCAGCCTCCCCAAGAAAGGTAGAAGAGTCGTGCAAGAACCCAACGTGCCATTCCTGGGTGGACCAAGGGCTGCTGCCAGAAGGCACCCCGCGGGAAAGAGCTTTAGGTTTGCTCAAGTTCAAGGACGGCACGAATTCGACCAAGAAGGATTCTCACTGTTACTTTCGAGGTACTCGCAGAGCACAGCCGCCAGCTACCAGTCGCAATGGGGCTGGTGGTCACTCTTCTGCAAACGAAGGGGTGAAGACCCAGTCCGATATGTTCCGGCCTATAGCCGTCAAGAGGAACAACTGGTCATCGACTTCCTGGTCCACTGTGCCTCCAATGAAGCCAAAGCACCGGGCGCCATCAAACTGCGACTTTCCGCCATACGCAGCATGCGCTTGACGTTGGGATACCCAGATCTCTTGATGCACATGCCAAGGATCCCGCTTGCCCTGGCCGGGTTGCGACGGCGCTTTGGCGCCAAGGAACGACGGATGCCCGTGACTCCAGACATGTTGAAATGGCTTGGGGGTCATCTGCAGTATGGAAGGGCCGAGGAAGCTATGGGGCGCCCTCACCTTGGGATTTTTCTTCCTACTTCGGGCTTCGGAATACCTTGATGTCGGGTACCAAGATCCCAGAAGAGGCCTGCGTGGGTCCGACGTCACCTTGAAGCTCAATGGCAATGCCGTGGCGCTGAACCGGATCAGCGAAGTTGACGAAGTCACCCTTCTGGTGCGAGGATCCAAGACAGACATCTACAAGCGGGGACAGGTCAGAAACCACTTTCGCGCTGCGGAAAAGGTGTGTGTTGTGAAATCCGTCAGGGCAGCCAAAGGTCTGGGACTCCCGGAAGGGGACCTCGGCGCTCACTCGCTGAGGTTCGGTGGGGCAAGTGCCCTGTGGGCACAGTACCAAGACACCTCCCTAGTGAAGCGCTGGGGACGATGGGCCTCAGACAGCTTCCAAACCTACATATGGGAGGCGCGAGAGACTGGCAAAGGCGTAGCACAGAAAATGATCACGGCAGACCTCACTCCAAATTGACCCTCTCAATAAGGATCCGTGACGCGTTTCGCGTCCGGATTCCTGAGGGGGGAAGGAAGCCCAAGATGGGCAAAGGGAACGGCGTAAGGACGCCTGAGTTTGAGCCATCGCGCGCAAAAAGGGTGTTGCGGGCTGGTGACAGTTTAGGAAAAGGAAACCATATGGTTTCTTTGCCTTTTGCTAGTTCCTTTGCCATGTTCTTTTGAGGGAAGTAAATGTTTTATGCGTAAAATACTAGCAGTAGCGTATTTATTCCTCAGGATTTGTTGAATGATATGTTCTCAACATTTTCCTCAATTTGATAGAGAGGATTTAGTCTAAGACTTTGTATGATGTTTTGCCATGCCCTTGTTCCTTTGCTATGCCCTTTTGACAGGTGTAGGAAGAACTTTTTGACGAAAAGCCAAAAAAGTACCGCCTCAACAGACGTTGACAGTTGAAAGTTGCATCTGTTGAACAAGCAACCTTGTTTTTACATCCCTATGTTCGTTTTGTTTCTTCCTTTGCAAAGTTCCTGTGCGAAAACCGGTGTTGATTGGTCGTGTGAATAAAAGTAGGGTTGTGCTCCGTCAGTTCTCCCACTCAAGCATCAAAGGCTTGTAATTTGCAAAAGTCAATGCAGCAGTTTATGCCTTTGTTCCTTTTCAAGCCTTTGACTAGTGGTAGGTTGAGAACAGAAGTGGTTTGTTCAGCTGAAACTTCATGAAGAAATTTCCCTCAGCCATTTTCACATCCCAAGGTCAAAATTCTTGCGTAATGCATTGCTTGTCATGCGCATTGTTCTTTTGCACTTGCTTATCGAAAGGCGCAGCCATTGGCTGTCGCCCACCCCTGTTGCAATTGCAGGACGGTGATACATTCGAGCAGATGGGCAACGCTTTCCCAATTGACCCAGTGCCCTCCAATATTGCCTATTTGAAGAAAGTCCAGAGCTCAGAGCTTGTTATTGTTCAATCAAACTTGACGCTGTGCCTTGGTGAACGTTGAATGAAGAAGACAAGCAAAGCAGGCAGCGATGAAAGCCAGAACATGTTTTGTTCAACGCGTGTCCAAGTGCATGGTGGTTATTGTCGTTTTGCCGTGAGGCGATTGAGAAGGAGATGAAATTGTCCATCGCAGCACCCTCGATTGATGTTTTTAGCCAACAGGACGAGCCGCTGTTTATGCCACCAACTCGTTTGCTAGTTGTATTTCAATTTCTCAGCTTTTGTTCACTCGGCTCAGCGCTTTGCGTTGCAATGTCTTTGCTACCTTTTCACTTTTCACTCTTTTGTCAATCGCTGGTCAGGTGAATTTGTCCAACTGTTTTCTTTCACAACACCTCACCCAACGCCTTGCACACCACCGTCTCAACTTGCCTTTGCAGCATTGTGGTTTGCCAGTTTTCTCATCGCGGATTTGCAGGATGGAAGTTGGATTAGAGAAGAAAAGATGTCGGCAAGCCTTCGCGACACGGAAGAGCCCATCACTTGGTGTTTTCTTTTGAGCAGCTTTTAACCATGCAGGGCTTCAAACTGATGTCAATGTTACGACCTTATGATGTATTTTTCCCCAAACAGTTTACTGTTAGGGGTTCTCAATGCTTTACAGAATGGTCGCCTTGGTGCTGGATGGTCTGGTCGGGTTCCCGGCCGGCTTGTCTCTGACTTCCCTTCATTTGTCTCCTAGTTCTTTTCATTTGTCTCCCAGGCGGGTGCTTGTGGTCGGGTTCCCGGCTGGCTTGTCTCCCGCTTCCTTTCATTTGTCTCCCACTTCTTTTCACTTGTCTCCCAGTTCTTTCATTTGTCTCCCACGCTTGTGGTCGGGCTTTCCATTCGCCTTGGTGCTGGATGGTTTGGTCGGGTTCCCGGCTGGCTTGTCTCCCACTTCCTTTCATTTGTTTCCCACTTCTTTTCATTTGTCTCCCACTTCCTTTCATTTGTCTCCGACTTCTTTTCATTTGTCTCCCAGTTCTTTTCATTTGTCCCAGGTCGGGTTCCCGGCTGGCTTGTCTCCCACTTCCTTTCATTTGTCTCCCACTTCTTTTCACTTGTCTCCCAGTTCTTTTCATTTGTCTCCCAGGCTGGGTGCTTGCGGTCGGGTTCCCGGCTGTCTTGTCTCCCGCTTCCTTTCATTTGTCTCCTCTTCTTCCCAGCTCTGGACTGCTGTGTCCGCCTAATCCTTTACATTTGTCTCCCTGTGTCTGCATTTGTCTCCCAGCTCCGGACTGCTGTGGCCGCCTCTGCCTTGCAATCCTTTGTCTCCCAGCTCTGGACGTCGCAGGCTCTAGTTGCAGAGTGTTCCGATTTCGAAAGACACAAACTGTTTGGGGTCTACGGTGGTGTAATTGTTTTTTTTGCCGCCACTGAGTTTGGTCAGATGTAGCACCAGTGGCATGTACATGACATAGCTTGTATAGATGTATGTTTCACTGCAGCCGTTTGTTCAAGTTTGGGTTTACTTTTGTGTTCATTTCGATACCAGAGCTCACGCTTGGAGTGGAGCTAAAAGTGGGCCTAAGCTTCAACTACAACCTTTGGGACAGTGACTTGGGGTCACAGAGTTTGAGAGCCTAAATTCTCTGTTCATGGTAGCAGAGCCGCGGTTGTAAGACCCGGCTACCGTCTGCGAATCGAAGGTTGCCGAGCCGCATCGGCTCTGGCGCCGGAAATCTACAAACACAAGCATCACTTGCAGGAAAGCCGGATTGCTTCAATCCCTGGCTAGCAAGTCAACATGGCGCAACAGCCAGGAGCACAGGCACCACAAGCCACCGACATGGCGCAACAATTTGCACAGATGATGCAAGCTCTAGCACAGGGGCAGAGCCAATTGCAACGAGCAATGGCAGAAGCATACACACAACAAACGGCGATCACAAGGAACATAGCCACCAGCGTAGAAGTAAGAGACAGATCAGAATTGAAAGGCATTCCAAAGCCTGACAAGTTCAGCGGACACACAGGTACCTGGGACTCATGGTACTTCAAGTTCAAGACTTGGATTGAGACAAGTCACAAGAATGCAGGAAAGTGCGTTCAGCTCCTCGAAGAGCATCAAGATACAGAGATCAATGAGACATCTCTGGAAGATGATTATCCTGAAGGAGCCGAGCTTGTTTCAGCTCAGGCCCGACAGGCTCTGATCTCACTGTGTGAGGGAGAAGCCCTCGAGATTGTCAAGAATACCTCCAGAGGTCAGCACTTTGGCCTAGAGGCTTTGAGACGATTGATCACTAAGTATGATCCACAGAACCCACAAGCAAACTCAGTTTTGCTGAAGAAGGTCCTGCGCCCACAACAGTGTGCACTGGACAAGCTCAGAGAGAGCATAGAAGCCTGGGAAAACATCAGGCGAAAGTACGAAGAGCGAAAGAAGAAAGCTCTTGATGATGACATCGCAAGAAGTTGTCTTCAGCAGATGTGTCCAGCCAAGCTCCAAGATCACCTTGACCTCCAGAGTTCAAGACTCACTGACTACGCCGTCATGAAGTCAGAGATTTTGGCCTACCTCGAGAACATCGAGAGCCGAAGAGAAGCAAAGACTGGATCAGCACCAATGGATGTTGATGCATTAGCCGCAGCTGCCAGCCAGACGCAAGCTTCACTTGCAAGTCTGGCCAAAGCCAAAGGAAAAGGCAAAGGTGGCTCAAAAGGCGGCAAAGGAAAAGGAAAGAGTCAAGATGGAGGCAAGGGAAACGACAAAGGTAAACAGAAGGGAAAAGGTTCTTCATGGTCCAACTCTGAGGCCAATTACCCTGAGGAGCTCGACTACTATGAGATTGCTCGCGCCAAGGGTACTGGTCGACTTCAAGCTTGGGATGATGAAGATGATGAGGGAAAGTTTGATGAAGCCCCTCAGCCTCGAGGTCGAGAAAGGGCCCAGATCGTGGCTACAAGAAGCCAGGAAAGGCAAAGAAGCCTGAGAAGCCAAAAGAGATGGAGCCCAAGATCGAAAATCTTTCCACTCAAGAGTTGGCAGAGATGAAGCGGGAAAGCCAAACATGGACGGCTACTAGCCATCCAGCCCGCAGTGTCATCGACACTGCTGCTGGGTTCAACCCAGAGGAGTATATCGTGATGAAGCGCATCGAAAGCCAAGGCGAAGGAGCAACAAGTGCACCATCCTTCGCAGCTCCAGTCATGGAGAACATCAATCCCCTTGATGTGACTGAGATCGAGGGACTCGAAGAAGAAGAGTTGGAAGATGAAGTTGAGGATGACGAGAATGGCACTGAGCCAGCTGATGATGAGTCAGATGGACAAGAAGAAGAAAAAGAGAAAGACACCGTGCCATGGCTCGATCACATGTTCCAAGAGCGCATCCTCAGTTATGATGAATGGGTAGCCAAATGCACCCACAAGAACAGAGTTGGCAGCAAGAACATGGTCTGCCGTGCGTGCATCAAGGCCCTGAGGTGTGACAATGACACCGGCCTATGGAACCATCATATGGCTTTGAATTGCTGCCCGCCAAAAGTCCTCAACCAGTGGGCAAAGGAATGGACGATCAAGCAGAAAGAGATGGGAAAGCGCATCAAGACTGCCAAGGGACAGCAAGGTAGCCCAACTTCAAAAGATGCGCCAAAGCATGTGAAAGATGCCGATATGGATCTGAAGCCCGAAGATGTGGCAAAGCATTTGAAGATGAAGGATCCAAAGCTTGAGACTGTCAAGAAAGAACCTCCTTTTTACATGACTGCCCATATGCAGAAGATGATGGAAGAGCAGGAGGAGGAAGATGATGTTGGCCCAAAGACGCCAAAGCAGAGGCGCATCGCCAAGACACCTCCACCTCCTGAGAAGAAGGGCAAGACCAAGGAGGAGCGCATGGCCTGGTTCAAAAGCTCGACTGAAGAGCACATGGAGCGATTCCGTGGACCAGGACCCAAGCAAGAGCAGTCCAGCGAAGCGCCAAGGCAGACGCTTCGATTGAAGTCCCGGTCTCGATCCCCGGGCAAGAGCCGAGCCGCTTCGGCTCCGGCGGCCTCCGATAAGGGCCATCAGAAGGGCCAGGAGAAGGGCAAGCAGAAGAAAGTGCAGCCGACTCGAGCTGTCAACGTGGCCACTCAGGAAGCTGCCCGCGAGGCCAAGAAGGGAAAGGGAAAGCGATATCCCACTCCCTCAAGCGAGCCTGAGGAAGGCGATGAAGATCCACTCGCTCTCAAGAGTTTGGAGCTGGCGTCCATGGAAACGCCAATGGCTCATCAAGTGACCTTGGATTCAGGAGCTGCTACGTCCTGCATCCCTGTCGAACTCGCCGAAGCACTGGGCTACAAGCCTATCCAGCCAGAAGGCACCAGCAAGGTCTACAAGACCGCCTCAGGCGAGATCGTAAAGGATCTCGGCAAAGTCGACGCCAAGGTGACGATTGGCGTCGGCAAGGAAGCCCTGAAGGGACGCTGCAGTTTTCGGGCGATGGCTGTCGCCAAGCCGTTGCTTTCTGCAGGAGCCCTCGCAGGCAAGGGCTGGTCCATCCAGATGAGCAAGACTGGAGGACACATTGCTCGAGATGGGAAGAAGATCCCGATCTCCTTTTGCAACGGAGTTTACTCCGTGCCGATTTCCACCATTTCACCCGGCACCGAAGTGGGTAAGTCCGGTGATGGACGAAGAGGCCCCGGCAGATTTTGAAGCCGCTGAGGCCGAGCCAGGCGATGAAATTCCGCCTGAGCTCAAGATCAACGCTCCAGTTCGCCCAACGCGAAAAGAGCTTTAGGAACACGTTGTTTCACACTTCCCTTTTCGTTCCTGGTGTGAAGCCTGTGTTAGGGGAAAGGCCAAGGCAAACCCACACAGGAGAGTAGACCACACGGACGAGACAACACCAGTTGTAACTGTAGACTACTGTTTCATGAATTCACGAACTGATGATGTAGTTTTGGACGAGAAGACTCATGCACCAATTCTTGTGGTCAGAGATCGATGGACGAAGCATCTTTTTGCTCATGTGTTGCCCTACAAAGGTGTGACAAAAGGTCCATATGGATCCAAAGTACTTTTGAACGACATCAAGAAACTAGGATACTCCAAACTGATCATTCGACATGACCCTGAACCTGCCCTCACCTCTGTTGTTGAGGCAGTAAAGAATGGGTTTGAAGGAACCCTGATCATCGAGAAGAGCCCGAAAGGAATCAAAGAATCCAAGGGAGAGATTGAACGAGCAGTTCAAACCTTGGAAGGACAAGCCAGTACTCTTCGAGCCGCGATCGAGTCGAACTATGGTGAAAAACTTCCTGACGATTCACCTGTTTTGACTTGGTTGGTTGAACACGCATCCACTGTCTACAACTTGTTTTTCCGATCTACCGAACTTCAAGACGGAAAGACTCCGTATTCACGACTTCGTGGACGTGAATGGAAAGTAGCAATTCCACCTTTTGGTGAGGCCATCGAATACCTCAAGAGAGGTCACAAGTTCGAGGCCCAATGGACCAAAGGAATTTTTCTAGGAGTGAAAGACACCACCACAGAGAAGAT